ATCTTGATTCCTGTTTTATTCTATTGATGTGGGAACTGTGCCTACATTGCTTGGTTATTGCAAACCTTTCGCGTTTTCAAAAAGAATGGTGAAATGGTTATTTTTACAAATAAACTGTTATCCTGTTATGAAATAAGTGTAAATGTCCATATAAAGTAAGTGGAAGATGAAAAAATGAAAGTCAAAATTGTAGGCTTAATAGTAGAAGTTTGGTTTTCACAATGTTGGTGTAAATTTTCTTCATACATTTAAAGAGGTGTCGGATAAAAGCCTTTATACACAAGATTAAATGCAAAAAGTGATAGTATCAATATTCTCCTTCCCCTCTTTTCATCCCTATTCATTGTCTAATACAGTTACGAAAATAAACAATGTAATATATTGCTCTTGTTTCACTTTGATATCTAGCAAAAATTCTCTCTCTCATTTTTACCTATTTATAACGTATCCTTGATTTGGCTTGATTTAAAGAAAAAGCGTATCGAATAAGTTGAAACTGATGGTCAACTTGGAAGGGCAATTGTTTGTATGGGAAGCCTTTGTCTTCTTGATGGCGATTCTGTTATACTTGCCTCACCTTCTTAGGCCAACTCCAACTCATGGCCTAAAATCTATAATTTCCTTTCTATTCTCCCCCCAATCCATTCCAACTCAAGTTTTAATTTGGACCTAAAACCTAAAACCTAAAAAAAAAAGCCTGATTTAGGCCAAGATTAGTGGTGGAGCCCCCATCCACATAGGTGTGTCTCCCACTTGTCTGCCAATAAAATTGAGCCCAACAACTCTTTTAGTTGATCAACGACTCACACTCAAATGGGATGTTGGTTATTCAACGGTCCACATTTAGTTTTTGTTTTATATTTATAAATTTATTGAATCCAATGACTGAAATCGAATATGATCAAATCTAATGGTAAAAAAAAAAAAAGAACTAATGGTCCAAATTTAAATTCAACAGTTAAATTGATTATAAAAAATTTATTTAACTCAAAATTCACCCAAAAACTCTATAAATACCTATATATTTGTCGAAACATCCACACAAAACTCATTTTTCTCCTACAATTCTTCCAATTTTTCTTTCTACCATCTTCCAAAACCATGTGTTTGCTCATGTGTCTTGTGTTTATACATCTCTATTATGTGTTTCATATTCTTCTATAGTGTTTCATGAGTTTATGTGTAGGTTTAGTGATTTTTCAATGTATATCGGAATTTAAATATTTTGGGTTAAAATATTCATAAAATTATTTTAGGATAGTCTACATAATTTATTTTTTTAAAAGTTAATTTAAAAAAATTAGCCTAAATTCATTTTTTAATAATATGGGGCTAAAATTTTAGACTAGGGTTAGAGCAAAAAAACTGTTTCTGGGTTAAAACCTAAATTATTTGGGCTAAAAATGTTATGCCAAGGATTGGAGATAGTTTTAGGGAGACATAGAAGTAATTCCCTTACCTATGTGGAAGAGAAAAATTCAGGCAGGTGAAGGGTTTCTCGATCTGGTAGTCAATGAAGCAGAAGATGACAGAATTTGGGATAGTTTATGTAGTTTGTAGTGACAAGAATGAATTACAAGTGGCATCACAAGTATGCAAATTTATGTAAGCTCATTCCTATAATTATTTAGACCAGGCTTATTCATGTTTTTCTATAAAACTTTATAGTTGTCGGGTATCTTTACACACACACACACATGCAGCTCTCCTTTGAGCTCACGACGGAGGCTATGGATGTTAGGGTAAGAGATTTTGAAAGTCATGAACTGCATAAACCATTGGACGAGATTTTGAAATACATTAACTGATAGTAATTTACTATAGTAGGATTATAAGAGGTCCTAAACCTTCCTAATAATATAGGAATGTGAATTGTTCTATTAAAGGGCTCTGGACTCCCTCCATTCGAACATACAAGATCATAAACTAAAAGTCCTTGCTTACAAGGCAAGAAAAAGAACTTAATGCAGACTTAACTCATCTGCAACAATCATTTGATAACAAGAAGTTTGAGTAACTTAGGGCGCAAGTAATCAACTTAAAACATACTTTGTGAAACCCGTTCCAAGATTTCACCGTTATAATCTACATAATTGTATTATTAAGATTTTTATTTTTTAGGAATTTATATTAATTTATTTGAATTTAGATTTTAGAGTGAAGTTTCGAAACTAATTATTTAAAATCTGTAGATCGTTTGATGTCACAATTTATATTTTCGATTAGAGCTCGATCTCACGAATGCGTAGGCACAAACCGTTCGTGAAACGGAGTTATAACGAAGGAGTTATTAACGTTAAAAGTTAATGATATTTCGATAATTTGACCTCAATCAAGTAGGCTTCAGATTTTCTGGAGCATTGACATTATGCCACGTGTGTGGCTGAGATAAAAAGAAAAGAAGAGAAAGGAAGAAATGGACATACAGGATGGGAAGGAAAGGAAAGAGGACTACATAATGAGGAAATAAAGAAATGAAGGAAAGGAGAAAAAAATAAAAAATAAAAAAGGGTTGGGGGGTGAGAATCGGGTCTCCCTGGACCCGTGCAAACCGACCAGTGGGAACCATGGAAATCGATGGTTTCCTGGCCAAATTCTGGCAAACTAAGATAAGACATTACCTGGAAACTTCACACCAAGCCTCCCTCCTCAGTTCTCACCCCAAAATGGATGAAAATTAGCCTTGGTTTGGTGAAACCCGCACCGATGAGTGCGGTGATACCTTGCCATTGATCCACTATTTTTGAAACATTTACCCTCGATCACCACCACCTTTAACTCCCCCTTGTGCCCTAGAACAAAGTCCAAACAAGTTTTGTTTTTTTTTTTTTTGTTTGGGGGTGGGGGGGGGGGGGGAGAGGAGGGGAGCTACGATTTCGACGAATTGAGGAACACTCAAATTCTAGGGTTACGGTGGGTCCGAGGTGATTCCTAGCACTTTCCGACCGAATTGGACTTCGGCCCAGGTATGAAAGTTGTTCCTCTCATTGAACTTTGCTTGCCTGTAAAATTTGGTAATTTTTAAAAATAGTTGAATTTTCCTGCGAGTCGTGACTGCCAACCACCACCTGCGGCGGTGTGTGGCTAGTGGACCGACGATGTCTTTCTAAGTTCAATTCGTCGGGGTTCCATTAAGAGGTCTGGTTATCCTGCTCCGTCTGGATTTCGTTGAGTGATGGTCCGGAATTATATCCAGCTTGTATTTCATTAAGTGGTTCTATATGCATTTTACTTTGCGATTTCGTTGAGTGATGGCTTGGGATCGTATCCACTCGGATTCCATTGAGTGATGGTCCGGAATCCCTTCTACTACGCGATTCCCTTAAGTGGTGGTCCAGAATCGTATCTTGGTTTGGATTCCGTTGAGTGGTCTGAAATCCCTTTGGTGCCTTGGTTTCGTTGAGTGGTCCGGAACCCGATGTTGATGGATTTCTTTGAGTTATCGTTTGACTTGTTGGTTCCTTGGATTCGATTTCAGCATCAGAGATGTAGGTTTCAGCTGAACTGTGTCACTCTAGCCCTGCATTTCAATGTATTGTACGTGTTATTGTTTGGTCAGATTATGGGATGATGTTGGTTGTGGTTGTTGGCTTTATAATTAGACTTGTTGATCAATATGGTTAGAGAATATAATTATGCTTCGTTGTTTGTTCTTTGAAATATTCCATGATATGCATTGTAGTATATTGTTGAAATATAGTGATTTATGTGATGAATATTCGAGTGTAGTGAATTGATGAACTACGCATGGCTTGATCCCTGCTGAGGGTACGTAGGCAGTCTAACGAGAAGGTTAGATGCAGCCATAAAGTATACGAAAATTACAACGCAATTCGAATATTGAATTATGTTTTGTACATATCCCGAAGGCGAGGTATGTTAGAGATACAGATATTTAGTGATGTCATGTGTCGATCGTGGATGTATGTCGAGATCGGGGCGTGACATACTTGTTCTACATCTGCTATACTGAGATAGCAATGACACGTCTAGCTCTTTGTTAGTTTTGATTGTGAGCCTCAAGGCCTACACTTAAGGCCCTACAAAGGCACCTTTCAAAACTAACTTCAAGCTCTTATTGTAGCATACCAAGTAGCAAGAGCCCGACTACCATACATACACACAAAAAGTGCCATCAATCGTTGAGGAGTTGTGCGAAGGGCCAAATCCACATTTTGCAACGTGTTGCCTTGAATTTTTTCAAGTTTTTCAACTTTGGTACGTAGCAGAAATTTGAATTGTAGTGCAAACGCAAAGTTTGAAGATATACTTTTCGATTCATCATGAGTCAGGAGAGAGGGGACAACTAGTATTTGTCAAGATTGACTCATGCATTCCGTGAGATTGGTAGATTTTGCATGCAATTCAAACAAGTAATCAGCATAAAAAAATGTGCATTATTATTCACTTTTGCACTTTTGATGTGTTGCATTTGCATTGCATGCCATCGCCCATTTTATGAACAGGATTCATGTGATAAAATGCCCAAAAACTTTAACCTTATCTTTAACAACTAACGTTATTCCTTGAGTCTTTTCTCTTCCTCTTCCTTTCCACCCCTTCACGTGTTTCCAACCTCTTCTTTATTTTTTTCAACATTGGAATTTTCTACAGGTAAATTCTTGGTTAAAGATTCAATAATTAAGATCTAACCATTGATAAGTCAACTTTATGCATGTTGTAAGTAAATTGTAATTTCTTGACGCAGATAATAATTAACATTAGCAAAAAAACACATCACACGTTAGTTTAACGCCACATGATTTTCATTTTATTAGAAGAGGTCCAGTTTGACTTAAACGTATGAGAAACGATATACATTTTAATGAGTTTAACACAAAACTATGATCTCTTGTGGGTGGATCAACGACTTATTGTTAAGGTGTCTTTATAAACATTTCAATCTCTTGTTGGGAAAAAAAAATTTAACAGAAACAAAAACTTATACTTCGATTTGATTTACCAATATGAGTACGGATCAGAAGATAACATATATCATATACCGTACAATCCAAACATGGAAATTCCCATTTCCAATTTAATTTCAAGTATATAATCTATTACAAACATCTGCCCCCTTGCTTTCTGGGAAAACAAAAAAAAAAAGTGCATAAACTAGAAAAGAAAAGAAAAAAGAAAAGGTCTTAATTGCTTCTCTTTCTCTGACCACAAACTGTTTAATCTCTGCATAATTAGCTATTAAATATACCCTTCATCAATCGGATAAGTTACTTGCGCCCCACTCCTCGTAAGAAAGAGCTACTCTTCGTGATCTCACGCAGCGGCTTGTCCGTAAACCTGATTAGATTGTAGACCAAGGCACCACTCACAGCTCCAAGAGTTGGTCCAAAAATGTATACCCACAGGTCCTTAAAGTGGCCTGATACAATTGCAGGTCCTATGCTTCTAGCCGGGTTCATCGATGCTCCTGAAATCGGTCTGCAGGTATAATTAACGTGAAACCCAAATCAATAGGACACAAATATTAATTTGTAATTAAGAGACATATGTCACAGCTTATTAAATAAACATATCTTTGAAGGATGTTTAGGACGATATTAATAAGTTAATACCCTGTACACATCACGTTAAGAAGAACCGTAGCGCCAACCGCAAGCCCCGCAAGCTCTCCAATCTGCGTAAGCAAACAAAAGAAGAAAAATCAAATCGCCATAAGATTTCTGGAGTCACTTTGTGGACATGATTCAATGACCAAGTCACTGTCTCTGTAGTAGTTTAACGTCGAAAAGTATATGATGCAGAAATTTAGGAATATATTAGACTAATTAAGTAGTATAATAATATAAAACTATTCCCAAATCCAATCATGTCAGTCTAACAGGTTTAGAAGTTTGACACCAACCCTTGTAAGGTAATCAACCATATTGGTTACGGTTACTTATAAAAATTAGGAAATTTGGACCAATATGTTGACAAAGTTGAGGTTAATATTAGAATAACTTCTCTCAACTGCTTTTAGAAAGAAAAAAAAAAGGAAAAAAAAGAACCTTTTTGCACTTGGGATTCCTACAGTGACAAAATCCTAAGTTAATCACAAATTTCTTCGTCAGGAATCAAACACATAGGGGTGTGTGATTGACATGAGAAACCATCAATGTTGGATCCTAGACAAAAGTAAATTTTTTAGAGGTTAAAGAGGTAGAAAGTAGAAGTTACCGCTCGGTTGTCAGTGGCAACTCCAGAAACAACAAACATGAGGTAAAATGTGATGATAAACTCAATCACAAATGACTGGAAGGGAGTTCCAGAAGGCGTTGTTCCTGCAAAGTGGTTTTGGGGCCCATTGAAGATCAGTCTAAGGGTACCAGCTGCAAGAGTTGATCCAAGGATTTGAGCTCCTACATAAGCAGGTACCTATAAACAAAATATAAGAATCAATTGAGGAAAATGTGGCAACATAAAAAGGAATTGGCAAGAGAACATTATGGTTTCAAATTGTGCAGCAAAGTTTGTTTTGCTAGCAACATGGGTTTTAAGTTGCAAATAACAATTTCGTCTAGTGACATTCAGTCTTCACTTCGGGCACTAGAGTTTCTTAGACTAACCTTATTCAACAAGAAGCACATTTTTATTTATTTATAAAGACACATAACATCGGGAAATTTGATCTCTGCGGTTTACAACTTTCAAAGGAAGAAATAAAAATTTAAGGGTTGGTTTGATTAGGTCACCTGCTTCAATGGAAACCTCTTGGTCACTGCAAAGGCAATGGTGACAGCAGGATTGAAATGGGCACCGGAGATGTGACCAACAGAGTAAATCATGACCATCACAACAAGCCCCCAAATAATTGAAATCCCAGGAAACGTCACCGTGTTGTCTGAGACCAGATTCACCACCACAGACCCACAACCTGCAAATATCACGAAGTAGGTTCCCAGCACCTCAGCAAATACCTGTCCCACATAAAGGTTTCAACTTCATCACTCATCATTCACTTTTAAGCTCTGCTTCCTTGAAACAAAAACTTCTTTTTAACAAAAATGATTTTGCCGATATGAGTTAGGTCAGTAGTAGGCTGTTTGTTCACGGCCTGCCAACTTTTCCTAAATTAAAATAATTTAACGGTGAAAACAAAACTGAAAATTTGATAGATATAAGTAAATTAAGTCACACCTTTTGCATGAAAGGGACAGAGACGCAAAAGCTGCCGGATTCTTGGTTGGTTTTGTGATTGGCATCACCATCTTCAACATTCAAGACATGGATTCCATTAGTCGCTGTAGTCTCAGCCATGGCTGAAGCAAGAGAGAGAGAGAGAGAGAGAGAGAGAGATTTCTTCTGCTTTCTTGTCAAATCTTGGAGTGAACAGAAAACGCTGCAGGACAGCCCAATTTATGGGATACACAAAGGTCCTAGAAAGAGATAGGGATGTCATTTAACAAAAAAAAAAAAAAAGAGATAGAGATGTTGACTAAGAACAAAAATGGGGCATTTTGTTTATTATTTTTGTTTATATAAAAGGTATTTTCAGATGGGAGTTTCCATAGGAGATATCGTTGAAAAATGTGGCAAGCTTGTGAAATAGGGGGAAGGGCATTCAAGACCGCTTCAACCACCCACCGGAAATGTAGAGTGGGCATGAGTAAGCCTTATTAATTCACATCCTCAAGTCCTTGCAATTTGGAGCTGGCTTTCCAAAACTGAAAACTATGTTTGGCCGCAAGTGGGAGAAATTTTTTATTGTGACCGGAACACGGATGGTACATTACGTGTTTTTATATAAGTGGTGTAAAATTTTAATATATAAGTAATTAACTTTTTAACACACATATCTCACTATTTGTATAGTGATACGTGGTATATCATCTAGTGTTCCAGTCACATTGAAAAATCTCTCTGCAAGTGGCCCTCTACCACGAGAAATTTTTCATTGTGACCGCAACACGGATGGTGCACCACATGTTTTTATATAAGTGATAGGAAATTGTATATTTTAAGTTATTAACTTTTTAACACACATATCCCACCATTTATACGCGGTATACCATCCCGACATCCGGTCACATTGAAAAAATTCTCTTCTACCACGGTGATGAAGATGAGTGTTGCATTTGCACCATGGTATGAATTCGAACCCCGTCCCTTCACTAATGTTACATCTAATATAACATAAATATTATTTGACCCAAAAAAAAAAAAAAAAAGAACATGTGTGGCCATTTTTTGGGTAGGCACAAATGCAAAAATTGAAAGAAGTCTTGTTTGTATTAATTTCGGATAAGAATCAGATAAACTATAATTTCTCAAAATAAGCTAATTATTAACACATATAAAGAACGAAGAGAAATGACTTATTAAAAATGTATGATTTATCTACTTATATGGTATATATATTAAGTATTCGCCTTTTAATTCAAAATTAGAAAGTTGATGTAAATCCAATTTTGTAAGCATATTTTAAGAATAAGCCAACTATTTTAATAGTCAATTCAAACGAATTCATCTTTCCTTGCATGGTTTAATGCTATTATAAGGTAAGTTAACGAATTTTCTTATACATGACATACTCGAAATCGTTCATTAACGAATTTTCTTATACATGACATACTCGAAATCGTTCATCTCCTAAATCATTATTTCAAGATCATCTCTATACACAATTAATCAAATTTAAAATTGTTTAGTAATTTATACACACACACACACACACAATGAATTGTTTGCTATGACATTCTTAATTGTTACCAAAACCGTATATTTATTTGTATGAATATGAATGACAAAACTATCACCAATTTATTTGGTTTTTCGCTGAGATGATCTTCCAATGACGATTAGCAAATGAACAATTTTAATTATGATCAAGTTGGCTATTTTCCCACTCTTGACTTTATTTGGTTAAAGAATAGAATGGCCAAGTTAGTCTTTTATTCAAAACTTGATTTTATTTGGTTTATGCACCCTTAATATCTTGAATAAAACTTGAATAAAGTTGAGGTTCCACCATAAAACCAATCGGCAATATGGGGGAGTATTCCAACTTAATTATAAGCCCATACAAGGTCCCTCATCTCATCATTGTGAGATCATTCTCAACATGCGTCCTCACTTGTGGCAAATTTTCATGCCTAATACATGGACAATACAAACGGAGTGATGTATGGTCATTGCGCTTTACACGTGAGACAACATGTTCTAATACTATTGTGGGACCATAATTTTCTAGGCCCATAACACATGGCACTTGGGAAAGTTGGAATGATCGAAAAACCCTCGTAATCGTAGCTACATAGGTATTCCAGGTCGAATTACCATAATCCAATGTAATCCAGCACGAATCCATTAGCTCTACCCATTGAAAATATTTATTTTCCCTCAAGTAAGGAAATCTTAATTCAAGTCAAATTAGGATATCTTGGTGATTAGGCAAGTAATCATAATCTTAGAAAGATTGGATATCTTATTCTAGATCCCTCCTCAATAGTTTTCCTAATTAATTGGGATTACTCTCTACAAAGACTCCTAAGATCTCTATAAATTCTATAGCCTTGGTATTTACTAGGGATCTCTATCCAATCATCTCTGTGACATCCCACATCGCCCAGGGGAGTGATCCTTATATGTATATTCCCATCTCTACCTAGCACGAGGCCTTTTGGGAGCTCACTAGCTTCGGGTTTCGTAGGAACTCCGAAGTTAAGCGAGTAGCGCGCGAGAGCATTCCCAGGATGGGTGACCCATCGGGAAGTTCTCGTGTGAGTTCCCAGAAACAAAACTGTGAGGGCGTGGTCGGGGCCCAAAGCGAACAATATCGTGCTACGGTGGTGGAGTGGGCCCGGGAAGTGATCCGCCCTAGGCCGAGATGTGACAATTTGGTATCAAAGCCTAACCCTGGTTGTGGTGTGCCGACGAGGACGTCGGGCCCCTAAGGGGGGTGGATTATGACATCCCACATCGCTCAAGGGAATGATCTTTATATGTATATTCTCATCTCTACCTAGCACGAGGCTTTTTGGAAGCTCACTGGCTTCGGGTTTCGTAGGAACTCCGAAGTTAAGCGAGTAGCGCGCGAGAGCATTCCCAGGATGGGTGACCCATCGGGAAGTTCTCGTGTGATTCCCAGAAACAAAACCGTGAGGGCGTGGTCGGGGCCCAAAGCGAACAATATCGTGCTATGGTGGTGGAGTGGGCCCGGGAAGTGATCCGCCCTAGGCCGGGATGTGACAATCTCATATTCTCTATGAGGATGGACATTCTCTACACGTCGTCATCTGCGTAGACATGGAAAAGCATCTCTTACACGTCTTCATAGGCTATTTGTCAATGATCTATTCAACATATTGCACATCATACATAGTCTTTTTTTCTAAAACTACACCAATAATTCGATTCTCCTTCTTTGAAGAGATATAGGTCGTCCGATCTGGATTTAATCACACTGCCCAATCAACTCCATTCTCCCCTTGCCATAGATTTGAGCAATTTCGATTAAATCACGCCTCCACCCATGGATGTGCGGGATTTTGGTTCCAACAACCATAAAGAAAGTTGAGGTTCCACTACAAATCCAACTAGCAATATAGAAATTACCCTCACTTACTTATAAAGTTCTTCAAAATCTTTTCTCTTATCAATATGATACTCATTCTTAACAAAATCTCTATTGTTTCCTTAAAAAATCTATGGGTTCACCATCCAAAAAATGGCCATAAGCATTTATGACAAACCAATATCCTTCTCACGTAAAAACCGACACTTTGGCGGGTGATGCCTATAACACGTCGAAAAGGCATCGGTTTAGATATTAGATTTGTCTTTAATTTTATTTAGGGAAGTGTTATTGGCACTCCAAAAATTTCATTATATACTCCTCACAAGTGTATTTTTCTTTCCAAATATAGAAAGCTTGGAGTGTAGAATGAGATTTTGGAGTGCCAATAACATTTCCCTTTTCTTTTTTTTTTTCGCTATAAGATTTTGTTTCTTAAGTTTTAGCCATTTAACTTTAAACTATCTACCAAAGAGGTTTGAGGTATATCAATTCTGCCATTTGTAGGGGCGTTTCTATCAAGTGCAGTTGTATGTCAATTTTCCCTTTCTAATATAAACCACCCAACTCAATAAGTTTAAGTGTTGGATCTTAAGGTACTCGTGTTTCTTTTCATTTTAACTTAACATCCACCACTTCCGTTTAATAGTTTGGCCACTACTTTAACAAAATCCTCGAATAGCTATGGCCATGGAATTAGAGGCCATCCGATGGTTTACTCATTCTTCCTGTTGCTAGCTAAATTTGCTTTGCCCTTGGTTCGACAAAATTACTCAATACTTTTAACTGGATTTAATACTTTAAAATAATGTATAATTTACAAGTGATAAATTTTAAATTGTCCAACTTAGAGTAATAAGATCTTCATCTTTAACTCATTGTGTTTATAATTCAACTTGCTCGCTCTCTTTCTCTTAGTAGTCTAACTTAAAGTGGTAACATCGCTTATAATTAAAACAATTTTCTATATAAAAATGTATATATAATTTACATGAGCTTAATGAATAATATACATGCAAATATACTTATTGTAGAAAGAAGATAAAATTGTGACACGGTGGTGATTCAGTACTAGTCAACAACTACCTTGCATGAAGTACCTTTTAATTACCCAATTATGAAGTAATAGAAAGTTAATTATGGTTACATTGACCTCATTAGTTAGGACATCTTGACGAATGCAAGTTGAGATGCTAAAGGGTGCATTTTTTGCTCACTACTTTAAACTTCGATATCTCCTCATCATACACCTATTTATCTGTCACGTGTTTTTTTACTTAATTTTAGTTAACTTTTTTCAAAATTGAAAAAGTAACATTTAATGTGAAAGTTAACTAGAGTTAAGTGAAATGACACATGACAAATAATTAAGTGTATGCAATAATTAGGTGTATAGTAAGCATACACCATAGTTATGATGGTGAGCAAAAATGATCCCAATGCTAAAACCATATTTCATCTCATTTTACATTTCCAACAAATGTAAATAAAAATTCTGCTTTAATGGGAGGAGGGATGTAAAATTGAGATATCATTTAATTTTCTCTCTTTAATTAAGGACTTATCATGAAAACATGTAAAAAAGAATATAAATTTAGATTTTTCCTTACATCTTTTGTTGAATATGGATACTTTGCATTCCGCCATTGAAGAATTTCCGACAAAGAAAAAATGCATAATACTCATTTCAAGACCTTTTGCATCTTCCATCGAAGATACCCATGATGATGAAATCTAGTTATCAATATACAATTCTTAGTGCATGCAAACATCAACTTGTCTTCAATCTTCCACTCGATTCAAAAGAACAACCAAATG